TATCTCTTATGACCATATTTTCAGCCTCACTAGCTCCAGCCCTTACACAGACATTCTGTTTAGGATCTCTTATGTAGTGACCAAGAAAAGCCAGAGGGGGCTCCTCACAAGACAAATGTCTATGAACCTCCAAATAGAACAATATAATTTTAATTCTGAAATGATTTGGGGGAAGGTATGAATGTTAGGCAACATTCTTAGGCTCAGAATTCCAAATTTGGCCTGGCTAAACAAGTTACTTATTACTTCTTTAAATAAGATCTTGCATTTTAGTACATGTTCATCACAAATATGTTCTTTAAGGTATAAATCCAAAATAAAATTGAATAATAGGGTAAAGTTATAGAGTTGTTAAACTCGATTACAAAGTTATCCTACAAAATATATGATTCTAACATTTGTATGACTTGTTTGATTTGGGCTTACTAAGTTGTATGTTGTTCCAGGATCAACTCTCTGAAAGTTTTGCCAATTCCCACTTTTATTTTTCACATATTTTAGCTTAGAAAAATCCATTAAATCTTAGCAGAAGAGATTTCCAACTTAGACCAAGATACATACAATGAGAAATAGAACATTTTTATGCTTTTGACTCCCTGGATGATAGTTCATTCACCCAGATTTTTGTAAAAAGTATATCTTGAGGCTTTCAGATTGTCTTGCTATTACACAGCGACTGTTCCTGGGTTGTATGCTTATATTTCCGATTCCTGTGAAGTTGTCTCTGTAGCAGGGCATACTCTGAATAACATCAAAAGGGTCAAGTCTAACAAAAGAAAAAAGAAACTCAAGTAGGCTTGAACATACAATGAGAACCGGGAAAAGGGAAAAGGGGAGAGACATTTTTGAATACCAAATTAACTCAGTCATCCCCAGGAGTTCTTCAGCACTAACACTTGTCTTATTCGGGGACAACAGAACTAAATCCAATTCTGCAAGAGTCACCTACTGCCTTTGACTTTGATATCTAGCTTGTATACATAGTGACAAAGGATATATACAGTATATACCTAATAAAGAGCTTGAATGAAGTAGTGAATCTATTATGACATTAGGATGGAAAAACTAATCTATACTAGTTATTCTCTTTCCTCCATCTCACTCCAACTTTCCCAACTTAGTTACAATGGTACACTAGTTCTACACTGGCCTATATAGGCCTCAGAACACTCGTTTTATATCACTATTACCACTAGGATTTATTCTTGTTGAAACAAATTGGATTTCTCGAGAAGAAACAAGTTAATTTCTATTGAATTAAGAGATGCCATGAGTTCAGTACTCTTACCCCCATTCCCATGGCTTTTTAAAGTTGTGAAATAAGATTCAATATTTGCTCTTTTTATTTTACTTATAGATGAAACAAATATTTTGTATTTTTTCCTTAAGCATTAGTAGAAAATATATTCATAGATTATTTTGTAAAAAAAAAAAAACTATTGCTTACCCTGTGTGAATTTTTTTTTTTTTGAAATATTTGGGTAATGTAATATAACAACAAAGTCCATTATTTACCCTGACTTTAAATCACTAAAGCACGAGTTGTCAAATTCAGATAAAATACAAGTTCATGAAGTATTTTCCATATCCTTGTCAAAAAAGATATAAACGATAGGGTTGTTCCAGAAAGAGATTAGAACCATCACTCAGTCAAGGATTTCACGATGCTTAGTCAAGCGAGATGAAGTTTGCCATGCTTATCTGATTAATCCCATTATAAAACTAGTGACAGTTTTCTTTATTAAGAGTCATTTCTCAACCTACCTTCCTGTTTTCATACGATCTTGGCCTCAAAATGGCGGGAAACAACATCAACTTTCAGTCTGTCATCCAGAAACAAGGTAGCTCCTAGAACCACAAGTTGTCTGTCCAATGTTGTAGTGGAGACCTTGTGGATAGCATTTATTATCTACTGCTTTTTTTCTGCTTCTGAGACAAAATTCAAATTCCAATTGAAGTCCCTCTCCCTCCCTCTCTCCCTCCCCCTTTCTTCTCTCTCCCTCCCTCTTTCTCTCTCCCCTCTCCCTCCTTCCTTCTCTCCCTCTCCCTCCTTCTCTCTCCCCCTCTCCCTCCCTCCCTCCTCTCTCCCTCCCTCTTTCTCTTCCTGTGTCTCTTCCACTCCAATGTACAAGAAATCTTTCTGAAGCTTCTGTGCATCAGCATCACATAACATTCTCTCTTCCTTCATCCACACTCTCTGACCCTCCCTTTTTTTCCTTTATGTTACAAGTGGAATCATTATCTCTGTTCCCTTTTTCTTCTACCATTATAGTACTTCAGCTTTTTCTAAGAAAAGTATGACTACGCCCTAATGCTAAGACAAAAGTAACCTGAGAATATAGAGAACGGTGGGGTTTTCATAAAGAAGATCCTGAAGAGAAAATTTTGTGATTAGCCATGTAATCACATAAACTCCTAAAATTTCATAGTTCACACCCTTCCAAAAAGAAATATGTCCAAGTCTTTAAAAAGTATTGCTTTTAGTCATGCTCAACTCTTGATGACTTCAAAAGCACATCCATATAGTGTTCTTGTCAACAATAAAACTGTCAAGTGTCAATCATTGTCATCTTCCAGGGTAGTTTTGTTCTGCTAGTACTTTCTCAGTCTAGCCTACAATCTTTGTGTTCCCTGGAGACTGCTATCAATTTCTAATCAGGCCAGACTCTAATTTGCTTGCCAGCCTAAGGGAGGGGGGGAGTCAGATGATATCTACTCATTAACACTTGCCTCGAACCATGAGATGGGCTGCACATAAATTTAATAATAATTGTACTGACATTTTGATTTATTATAAATAAATTGCAGCAGGACATTTGAGAGCAATACACGGTTGTAAAAAGGCAATTAGAGATGGGTAAGAGGGAAGTTATATGTTACAGACATTCCACCAAGCTAACATTTGGACATGATAGAT